TGGTTTTCTAAACAATTATTCTTAAGAATACGATAGACTTACCTCCACGTGGTGCACCCTGGACAACGTACATAGACTTACCTCCACGTGGTGCACCCTGGACAACGTATTCTCATACGGTAAAACAGTCAATAAACCTGCAGTTGACTTCTGACTTCTAGTTAAAAGGCTATAAACTGGCAGTTGACTTCTGACTTCAAACTGCCATGATCCCACTGTATGTCATATTCGACTACTTCCACAGTACTCACATTATTAACTGGCAGTTAACTTCTCACTTCAAACTACCATCACCCTAAGCGGCAGTTGACTTCTCACTTCAAACTACCATCACCCGCACTGGCAGTTGACTTCTCACTTCAAACTACCATCACCCCTCACTGGCAGTTGCTTTCTGACTTCAAACTACCATCACCCCACTGTATGTCATATTCCACCACTTTCACAGTACTCACCTCACCATTTTCCACGCCTTTGAGTCTGTCTATCACAAACTTTTCTCCATTTGTTGTTCCTCCCCTCTGTGAAGCCCAAGGTCAGCTAAAGGGCTAATGATAAGTATCATATAGGCCGCCATGAGAGATAAATAAATATTCATGGATTGCGAATCAAAACGCAAAGAATCATAGTGAATATGATAGCTCATTACTTTACTTGCAAGTGGACCAGATGGTAGATAATTCAAATCGTTGTCATAGAAGCCGACTAGATTGAGCTGACTGCGGTCAGATAACCGTGGCATGAAAGCAATTGGGGAATATTTCGTGTGCCGAGGGACAATGATGTTAAGTAATTCTGGTAGTGATTGTAATGCTGATAGACATAACGATGGCCAGTGCTGTTGAACTATAACAAATAGGGGTGATTTCACCCTTCAATTTGAGTGACATTACATTACCGTGGATTGCATTCAACGCGCAATGGGCAGTTGTTAATACAGGTACACTCAATTTTACATGATGGTAGGCGGCCATTGCAGAATTTCATCTGTGCTAATGAGAGGCAATTGGATATTGCAGACTTTTAGATAGTTGCAGAATTGTCACTAAAGTTGAGGGCATTTCATTATGGTTTTATCATGTTTCACAACACGGGTACTAACATTCGAAACAGTAGTATTAAAGGCTAACCTTACTGCCAGATTACAGTGGCTGGACTGGCGTGAATACTTTGAGCACGCTTCATTCACTCAGGTGCAAATGGAACAAGGAATTTACAAGGCATGATCAAGTCGCTGAAAAATGTTCAATTAATTTGGAGATGCTCCATTTTGTTGAGAGAAGTAAAATTGAATCGAATATGACCCAAATCAGTACCCATTTGCTAAAAATATCCCAGATAAGCTAATTCCGCAACAATAGAATATAGCAGAATAAGAAAATTTTAAGGCACGATATGGGTATTGTAAGTGTGCAAACGAAGGTCAATGTTCAAATGTAAACAAATATGTTCCCATTGAGACAGTAGTGAGATGATAAAATCAAATATCTAAACATAAAGAAGATATAGCTCCAGATAATGAAGATAAGATAAATGAAAAGCCTAGATTTGCTTTTAACTTAAGGTTAAAATTCTCAATCATCTTGAGCCCTCTTAATTGAAGCATTGTCTAAGACGATCGAAAAAATTGTGAAACTCGACCCGCTGTAAATACACAATGAAGTACGCAGATAGAAAGTAGCATGAAATAGCTGAATGCTCACCTAGTGTAACGATGTTGATTAATTCTGTCACAACACTGAAGGCGATGGTATATAAGGAGTATGCAATGGAAAGTGAAGCAGTGGAACAAAGGAAACAAACATGTCTCGCAATTGTCTGATTGTATTCACTCTTTTGGCTCTCACATTTGTCGCCTTAGCTCATAAACCTCACGATCATCACGACAACGACAATCGACTTCACTCCCATCACCATCACAACCACCACCACCACCACCTCCTCCCCCACCACCATCACCACCACCTCCCCATTAAACATCATCACCACAAACCCCACCACCAAAACCATCACAAAAAACATCATCACAACGGAAAAAATCAACACAATAAAAAACATCATCACAATAAAAAACCCCATCACCATAAAAAACCTAATCACCAAAATAAACATCACTGACACAAACTTCTTCATATGCAACAACACTAAAACCAGCAGTGCTTCTATAAATACTACCCCACTTTCACTTACTGTACTCAACCTCAACTTCCCGAGTGTCAGATGCCCCGAAACCCAGCAATCAAACCTATGAGGAGTGTTTAGAGACATGCAAAGTGAACATCTACTGCATCCAATACTGCCAGACTCGTTTCCGTCTCGTTTCCCAATTCCCACGAGGTCACGGATTCCACCACCAATAATTACATTTCAAATCAATCATTCATCTTCACTGCTCATTCTTCGCCATCAATCGAGTGAATCCATGAATACATGAATTAATTAATCGATTAATAAACTACTTATCACATACAGTTAGACCTAGTTCTTTGTTTGTAAATCTTGACAGAAATTGCCTTCATTAAATGGGCAAATTATGCTAAATTTATTTTTCATATGTGAGGTGTGCAATAGACTTACCTTTACGTGGTGCACCCTGGACAACGTATACTCATACGGTAAAAAAGTCTATTAACTGGCAGTTGACTTCTCATTTCAAACTACCATGACCCCACTGTATGTCATATTCGGCCACTTCCACAATACTCACCTCACCTTTTGTTTACCTTTATGACTGTCTGTCTCTTTTACATCTGTGGATTACACTTCTATTCCCCTCTCGACCTTTTTGTCACGTTGATGTTCCTTCTCCTCCTCTCTGTGAAGTCCAAAGTCAGCTAAAGGGCTAATGATAGCGGTCAAACCGCCTGTCGGTTGAAATGAATAAACGATTCATATGTGATTTTGCGTTTTCTCACAGTCGAATGAGTTGGAAAGTGAACGTCGAGACTAATTTGTAAGAGGCACGAATTAGGTGTTTGGGTACAGTTTGGATAGTTTACCTTTTGCCTGAAAATTTCGTTCAGTATCCGGACGACGAACTTCTGAGTGTAAAATGAAAACATAATCGATGGTTCTTATCATCAGATATTGTGATTCCATCAAAATATTCACGATTGCCTACTGAAAGCATAATCTGAATACCCATTGCACGTGTAAGACTGGTGCTAGGATAGAGACCTACGTGGGTGTTGATGGCCTGAAACAAAATGGAGGTCCAATTCACATTCAAATGGAAGATACCAGGCATATAAATGTGGCTTTGTGAAAAATGTAGGGGAGTAGATAATTGAGTCTTGATTATCTCACATCAGCAAACGAATTTTTTCAAAAAAACCTTATGATCTGCCCTTCAACACCCTTTAGCCCACCTAGTAAATGAAGATCCAGAGGATCAAGCTGTGGCTCCTTTGATGCAAGTCATTTTATGAAAATTGGCTTGTCAAATATTCCACTTGAGAAGCAAGTTCATGTTAATACCCTAAAGTGCCAACGAGAGCCCTTCATACATTGTGATCTCTCGGTTTTCATTAACAAACCAACGATCACCATCTCCTTCTACCAATCAAGGTGATCTCGGAAGTAGTATCCAACCCAATAATCTCTTTCTCTTCATCCAAAATCATGTTTACATACTGGGGGAAATTTCAATCGCCGTTTTCATGAAACCACCTGACAATACTTTACACAAGTGACTTCTTCGAAGCCACTCTCTATATTAAATCCTTTCACCTCTGGTCAAAAATGCACATTATTGTGTTCTCGCAGACTTCAATCATCCTTATTTACTCTCCTTTCACTCCCATCATTGGAACCCATCAAAGTTTTGGAATTCTTGCATTTCACTTTGCCTAAAGTTGTCAACTCCAGCTGCAACGTCTAAGTTTAACACATTTCAAAGGCAAATTGCAGTCAGATTGTGAGAGAAGCTCCAATGTGATAAGTTAAACGTTACAAATAACTCCAGATATTTGTGATGCTTGAAATTCGCCTTGAAGATACCTCAGTTATGCAATTATCACCACCATTTCTAACTGCATTCTGCCCTATTTTACTCATATTTATTGAAGTACAATTCATCTCAAGCAACTGAAATTCAATTCACGAAATTTTTGCTGAGACTTATTTCACGTTAGTTTTGATCTTCTCTGTATTCTTTGTGCAATATTGTTAAATTCCATTAGCATGTGTATTTTCTTGATTCCGTTAACATAGTATTGTGACATATTGTCAATATTTGTGTTGGTCCAGCCATTTCAGATTTCGTGTAATTTGTCCACATCTATGTACCTGAATATAGTGAGTTTGCAGTTCCTAGCATTCTTGGCTCATTGGTGATAGAGTGATAAAGAGGTGGGCGACTGATATTTGGCAAGTGAAAAGAAGTACTTGTTACCATGACCCATGTGAGTTGAAAAGCAAGATGACAGTCCTATCTTACCCATCTCACTCCTTATGAATCTTCGCACTATGGCCTATCTTCCTGACACCTGGATCGCATAACGACTTTTCTTTCTGTATACCCATTAACTATAATGTCTCATTTTCTCCACGCATCTCACAACTCCTCATTCCATCTCCATTCACATCTTGAGTCTTAAAAGTCAACCAACAATGCCCACTTTAACTAATTTTCACATTAGTAATATCTAAACATATAGAGTCAATCTAATGACTATGTGCAGTGACCACCCTAATGCCGTAAATGGGGTGAAACAAGACGTTAAAGCAAGACTGTCATTGGAGCATTTAGAGTTTTCATACAGAAGAGACTACATGGAGCTGGATATAATTGTGAGAAACCGCAAAATCTTATACGAAACACAAATGAGCTTAATTTGACCATTTCATGAAGGCCGTTTCAGAAAAGTTAGTTTGAAAAGACCTAGGTCTTACTGCATGTGATAAGTAATTTATTAAACAATTAATTGATTCATTTATTCAGACATTCATTAATTCACTCGGTTGAGTGATAAAAAGAGCAGTGAAGATGAGTGGCTGAGTTAATGGAAGGGATGGTGGTGATGGTGACATCGTGGGAATTGGGGAACGAGACGGAAACGAGTCTGGCAGTATTGGATGCAGTAGATGTTCACTTTGCATGTCTCCACGCACTTCTCGTAGGTTGGCGCGCAAGTTGGGAAGTGTGTGGGCATTTGGCACTCGGCAAGTTGAGGTTGCACACAGCATGTGAAAGTGGGGTAGTACTTGCAGAAGCATCGTTGGTATGAGCGGTGTTTGATGATTTGCTGCCCTTGCTGGTAGCTCTGTTCATAGTGTGCTGAGGCAAGAATTGCGAGAGCGAGAAGAGTGAGGGCAAACAGACAATTGCGAGACATCTTTATTTTCCTCGATTTCAATGCCTCACCTTTCACATCCAACTCTTTATATACCAACGACTTCAGAGTTGTAACATCATTAATCTACTTCGTTACACTATGCGAAATTTCAGCTGATCAATATTCTGCCTCATCTGCGTACTTTATTGTGCACTTTCTAAAACTCAATTGAGCTCAAAATGATTAAGAATTCGAGCTTAAATTTCTTCCAAACATCGGTTCTGTTTACCTACATTCCGTTTTATCTGTTGAATCTTTAAAAATTGGTTTTGCTCATGTTGATCTAGGGACTTTATGACGACAATTTTTAAGTTTTGAAAAATAACCCTGATTGAAATGTTTTCTGCTCAATTAATCGTGTCTTTAATATAATCTTGATTGTTGTGGTTGGTCTGATTTCTAAGTAAGTCTCAGTTTTCAAATGTCTCGAAAACTGCTATTAAGCATTTTGTCACTAAAATTTTGATTTTTTTGTTGTTTCAATGATAATCTTCCATCAGTAATATCTGAAGTCGCTTTGAAGACTACAGCGCCAATTTCAGTATTAGTATTAGTATTAGTGCCATTTGATGGTGTAGCATACATTGAATGGCAGTTTAGTAAGGTCCTCAGTCTTCCATATACAGGTTGCTCCACGTAATCAAATGCAATGCTTTGTAAAATTGTAGGAAAATGTTATTTTCCGTTTCAACTAATCGAACAAATGTCTGCCATAATGAGTAGTCTCCTTGTATTTTATATCACTTATGTGTCCTTGCAACACTCAACTAGCCATGACTTTACGTTCAGTTTTTATTGCACATTGGTTGTTCATGTTGGAGTAATTTGGAGAATAATTCCTGCTGTGTTAGAGCAAGTGACTTAGTTAATGCAGTTATAGGCCAAACACCTGTCATTTAATGTATTTCGTAGTGGCTTGACTGCCCCAGTGTTGATCATTTTCTTAAGAGGCTGTCTGGCATGAGTAGATGAATGATCAGGATGACTAACATATTTATACGCAACTACCACTTCAGAGAGTCATTTCTAAAAAAAATATAGAAGGTAACACACTTTGTAAACAAGAAAGTAGAAGCATGATATAATGGGTTGGACACTTTCAACCTTAGAGTGAACAAAAGATTAATTTCTTCATGCGCTAAACTCCACTCCATTACGATATCCCTTGAATCGGCATTATTATACCAGATATTACGAGACAACAGACATTCTTTGGTTGTACGATTATCCAATAAAACGTGTTTTATTAATCATTGGTAGTTCCTCCTCTCTATGTTTGGTAGCCTCAGATCTGTCACTAAATTAATTTCTTGTTAAAGTACGCAGATATAATGGGGCATGAAACAGCTGAATGCTCACCTAGTGTAACGATGTTGATTAATTCTGTCACAACACTTAAGGCGATGGTATATAAGCAGTATGTTATGGAAAGTGAAGCAGTGAAACAAAGGAAAGCAAACATGTCTCGCAATTGTCTGCTTGTATTCACTCTTTTGGCTCTCACGTTTGCTGCCTCAGCTCATTTCTCACACGATCACCACGAATACGACCCCCACCTCTACCCCCATCATCGTCATCACCACCACCTCCTCCCTCATCATCATCACCACCACCACCACCACCTCTTCCCTCATCATCATCACGACCACCACCACCACCACCTCCTCCCTCATCATCATCAC